CTCTAATCTGATAACCGGCATTACTCTTTAGAATTGGTATACGCTCAGGTCAGCACAGAAAACTTGGTACTTTGCCATCTCCTGAGAGCTCTCTATTGACGGAAAGTTCAGGGTTCTCTAGGACCTGTTGGAATCCTGTGACTAGCCAGTGGATTTCAGCCCTCCTGGGACCCTGATTGGTGCCTTTTTGGTGCTGTGGATGATAGACAGTGTTGAGGTCATCCTCCTTGAGCCGTTTTGACTCGTGACTCAGATGGACAGGCTCTGAGCTGCTCAAGATCAGGTTAGCCAGAGAAGCTAAGATTGGACTGTAGTGAAATCATTCAAGCTGGCTTGTTGCTCTGTTCGCTGTCAGAAACCAGTGTCTTCCACTGAGTAAGGTATAGCAAGGAGATGTTCCAGAGCCTGGAGGCTTTGCTATTCACATGAGCTTTTCTTTTTATATAAAGGATTAAAAACAATCACCTTGAACTTTCTTTTGATTTGAGCTGGGCAGGTTGGGGGGGGGGTCTTTCTGTGTTTTATATTCACATTTTGTCTTTCCTAATCTGAAGTCTTTTCGGTGCTCAAATAGTTTCATATTTTGGTACATATTAAATTTCAGGTCTTTGGATTAGAGATGCAAGCCTAATAACATGTATGCACATAGTTCAGAATCAGAAATATTTTCTTAGCCTGTATTTAACCACATACCTGAGCCTTGGTCTGTGTGTGCTATTAGCCCAGCCAGACATTGTTACTCAGCAGGTCTTTCATGGCTGCGTTGACATGCAGTCACTTTAAAAATGGAAGCCACCGTGCCCCCATGGGCTCCAGTCTCCACAAAAGCTGGCACTATCTGCTTGGTTGGGTTTGAAGCCAGTCTTTTAGGATAGGGAGCACTCCAGGAAGGCAGTAGTCACCAGTAGCAGTTGCTAGCCTTTTCATGGTGATCACTGTATGGAGAGAACATTCGCTCCCTTTCTAGCTGCTGCATCCTATGGGCTGGCTCCTGGCGGAAGGATGGGCACAGGCTCCAGGTTGCTGTGCAGCTTGCTGAGGCTGAGGTCAGCCTTAGTGAGTGTGGCAGTGGTACCACTGCCTCTTCTTCTCTGCCCATTGTTGTGTTTCTATCAGTGGGACAGGGAGGAAAAGTAGATTTCCAGAGCTTTCTGAAGAGTAACTTCTATGGTAGCCATCTGGACGGTTTGGCCATTTCTGAAGCAAGGGGAGTCCCGATGTCCAGTAGTAGCAAGCCTATAAAATATGCATACCTAACCCTTGTATTAACTCAAAGGGACCAAGCTGGAGAGAAGTGTGTTAGCTATAGATGCCAGCATTAGGGGTCCATATCAGACCCTAGATTGGAAGGAAGTAGCCCTGCATCACACAGAACACGCAGCAGCAGGCCTTTAAAAATTTGGAATGGCCGGGGATGTGTTGGTGTATGACTTTAATCCCAGCACTCTTGAAGAAGAGGCAGATCAATCTCTTTGAGTTCCTAGCTAGCCTGGTCTACATAATGAGCTCTGGAACAGCTAAGGCTACAAGGAGAGACCCTGTCTCAAAATGAAACAACAAGAAAAAGAGTATTTGAGGTCTGCTTGCACTCAGCTTTTTATCTGTGTCTATCCTGAAGCTGGGTGAGAAAGCACTGCCAGGCTTTGCAACCCATGGGGTCAAGCTTTCATTGGAGCATCCTCTTTAAGAAACAAGTTCTGCCTCTACACACCTTGCAGCAGACTGTACTAAGCCCAAGGGGTAGCTTTAGTTGAACCAAAGAAAATCACAGTGTTAACAGGAATTAGATCTGATCCACCTTTGGATCTTACAGAGGAAAAACTGTTATAGTACTGAGGTCCAAATTAAAGGTTTTTTTTTTTTTTAAGATACATATAGTCTAAATGTTGATCTAATTTTTTTTACTTCTAGGAGAGTGCAGATGCATTTTTAAAAGCAGCACACACTCACCTTTTCGTATCTTCTCATATGATGACTTTCAGGAGATTCTTAAATAAATTCTCCAGTGAGGTCTTCCTACTCTGCATGTGTTTGGTAGCCATTATCTAAGCAGGCTGATGGCTTTTGCATAACAGTGTTTTTAGATCACAGATTGTCATTAAGACCTGATTTGAACTGTACTTACTTAACCAAAGTTTTGAATAAACTGATAGTCCCAGATTCAACAAAGACAGTGATGAACTTCACTTAAACCCATGGTGAGGTCTTAGTCCATGTTTATCCCTATTTCTGTGCACACTTGGTATGCGGATGGTTTGACAGCCCATTGCTTTTCTCGTGGAAAACACTGTAAATATTTCTCATATTTGCATAAGGGAGGATTTCCGGCACCTTAGGATGGCTTCTAAGCAGTTGCATCACCATCCCAACTATTCGGCCATCTCGAATCATGCCCTGAGGCCTCTTGGCTTTCCTTGCCTGTTGTACTAACAGGCACTGTGTTTGGACATCAAGGGTTTCCACCTCGTAGTTTTGCTCATGGTCAGTGGATATGGTGCACCTGCACCCCTGTTCCTATTGGAAGCATTTCTTCTCCACACACCATCAGAAGAAGCAAAGGGGGTACAAAGACCGGGTGAATTTCCGTCTGTAAAGCCTAGTAAGGAAGACTGTCCATGCCCTGCTATATGATTTGGATCTTAAATGTCCCACAAAGACCATGAGTTTAAAGCTTGGTCTACAGCCTATGGCACCATTAGAAGCTGATGGAACCTTTTAGGAGGTAAAGTCTAGAACAGTGGTTCTAAACCAATGGGTAGTGACCCCTTAGGGGGATGTTGAATGAACCTTTCACGGGAGTTGTCTAAGACCATCAGAAAACACAGATATTTACGTTACAATTAGTAACAATAGCAGAATTGTTATAAAGTAATCCCAAAAGCAGTTTTATGGTTGGGGGTCACCACGACATGAGAACTGCATTAAAGGGTGGAAGCATTGGGAGGGTTGAGAGCCATGGTCTAGAAGGAAGTTGGGTCCTCTTTCCTGAGTCCTTTTAGGGTTGTGGGGAGCCAGGCTACCTCCTCTCTTTCACTTTCTCTCCCACGTCCTTAGCAGGGTTGTTCTACCATGTACTCCTTCCCAGGTGTTCTGCCTTGCCACCGCCCCAAAGCAACAGAGCCAGCCTGCTATTGACTAAATCCTCTAAAACCCCAAGCCATAATACACCTCTCCTCCATCAAAGTCAATTATTATCCTTGGGTGTTTTTGTCATAGCTACAGAAAGCTGACCTCCACAGTCCCCAAGGGAGTTAACACCCTGTGAAGTTGAGGCATTCATGTGTGTCCAAACACTGCACAGATAGACTTTAGAAAGTCTGACTTCAGACAAGAACCTCTTCTCAGTTAAAATCTTAAAAAATCCAACCTCGGCTGGGCATTGGTGGTGCACGCCTTTTTAATCCCAGCACTCGCGAGACAGAGACAGGGGGATCTCTGTGAGTTCGAGGCCAGCCTGGTCTACTGAGCGAGTTCCAGGGTAGCCTCCAAAACAATACAGAGAAACTCTGTTTCGAAAAAAAAAAAATCCAACCTTCTTCTAGAATAGCACCTGGAACTTAGAAATACAGAGATGATCGGCAGGGCTGTAGCTAAGCCACATAAATAACAGGGCCAGTGGTGTCAGCAGTAGAGTAAGAACGTGTGTCCAGATGCTAGTACTTCATTTCATCTTACACTTAACACTTGACGGAGAGAAAGGTACCTAGGATGTTCATTGCATTTGCTTACGACTTTTTCCTTCTAGTAAGTCGTATTGTTAAAACCATCCAGCTCTTGGGATAGAACTTGAAAATGTATAGCGAGGGATTCGTTTTTTAAATCAAAAGCTATGAACTTGCCTTGTAACATTTTATGATAGTTCTGCTTGAGTTATCACTTCCTACTCCAGTAAAATAGAGTTCAATTTTTTCTGTGGGTTTTTTTTTTTTAACATTTTTGGGTCATAATCATTCCTAGAGGTGAATTAATAGATCTTCTCCAAGTGAACTGTCAAGACAGGACCCTTCTGGGTTTGAAATGTGATTAAAGATGCCAGTGAACTTGCTTGGGAATCTGCAGAGCACACTAGTGTCCCCTTGAAAATGGTAGAGGAAACCAGAGGTGTTTGCCCAAGTGTGTGCACAGTGAATGCAGGACCAGCTGGACAAGCCGGAGGGAATGTGGCTACCTTTACAATCGAGCCATTTGCCCCTTAACTGCCAGGTAGCTCTGGTATGGGGGCAGAGGATGCTTTTAGCCCTAGGACTGGGATTCAGTTGGTGACACCTTGGTAAAAATGGCAGTGTAAGAGACTGTTTTGGACAGGGCTCTGTGTGGTCCACCTCTGTTGCATCTGAAAGCCTTCCTTCTGATTGGGGCAGCAGTGTTGTGAGGGGCATGTGTAGAGAAGAGCACTGGAGATGCTTGGGATTCCATTCCTCATTGCCATTTCTTCCCCTGCTGCTCGTGTGCGTGCGTGCGTGCGTGCGTGCGTGCGTGCGTGCGTGCGTGCGTGCGTGTGTGTGTGTGTGTGTGTGTGTGTGTGTGTGTGTGTGTGTACCCTGCAGGCGAGCATGTGGAGGAAGGAAGCTGACAAAGGGGAATGACAAGTGTTCGTGTTAGATGGGTATTTCTCAGTGTGGAGGGGCTTTCCCCAATCAATCAATCACCAGATGTTTGGGGATTTCTTTTTAAGTGTGTGTCTGTGAGCGTGTGTTTCTCATGTGAGAACAGGTGTCTTAAGAAGGCCAGAATAGGGTATCGCATCCCTGGGAAGCTGCAGCTGTGAGCAGTGGTGAGCCTCCAACATGGGTGCTGAGACCAAATGCTGGTCCCTCTTCCAGAGCTGCAAGCAGTATTAACTGCTGGGCCGTCTCTCCAGCCCCTTTTCACCAGTGTCTTCCTCTCCTTTCTTCTTCTTTTAATGGTTAGGTGAGCTCAAACAAGCAAGCGTACCTAACAGAATAGGTGTTTCCTATGTCTATATGTAATGCTAATACAGCCTTTCTCTTTCTCTACAGATCCCATAGAATCTTCTCCTACAGTGCTGCTCCAGCTCATACTTCTCTGCTGGGGTCTGAACTGACACAGGCTCTCAGAGGATCACTGCAGCTTTGTAACCTTCAAGGTGTCCTCAGCTGGGAAAAAAAAAAACAAAACAAACCTCATCTTTTTGAAGAGTGCTACGTTTTTGCCAGTCACCTCTTGCAACTGCGTGCCAAAGGTAAGCCTGTAAATTTCTGCATAAAAGAGGCCAAAGTAGTTGACTGTTTTTGTTGTTTTTTTGCCTTGAGTGCGTAAATTGCATAATAGTTTTTTTAAATTTTTAACGTTTTTTATTTGATGTGTATGGATGTTTTTGGATGTTTATGTGCATTATTTGTGTGCCTTAGTCACTGTGAAGGTCAAAAGTAGGTGTCAGATCCCCTGAAACTGGAGTAATGGTTGGTTGTAAGCCACATTGTGGGTGCTGGGAGTTGAATCCGGCCTCTGCAAGAGTAGCAAGTGTTCTTAACCAATGAGCCATCTCTCTAGCCCTCTGCATAGTAGTTATTAAACTATTCCTACAGCAATAGGTGATGGCCCTGGTTTGTTGAACTGTGCATTAAGTTTAAGCTCTGAGGGAACATAGTTCAAAAACTAGGTTGCTACTGTTCTGACTTGAGAGCGGGTGGTTTTGAGTGTTTACATAGAAGTGTGTAATCCAATTCACGTGCAGTGAGGTTCTGGAACGTGCTTTGAATTGAGGTTGCCCGTGTACTAACTGGGGACCGGAAACATACAGCCAGGAAGGAAAGTGGTCTTCAGACTGGTCAGGTTCAAGTCCAGCTTGGCACTGAGAGGGTAAGTTCACATCAGGGGAAATGCAAATAAATAAAAGGTTCCTGGGACTCTCATAAAGTCTCTAGGAGAGATGCGCTCTCAAGCTGTGTTAGAAGGAAGTGCTGACTGTGGTTAACCTTGTGTAGCCAGGACCGGCAGAGCCCCCACACTGGTACTGGTGGACAAAGATGAGGCTGGGGGACAAATATATGAAAGAGAGATGGGGGTGGGGGGCAGTGTCTGCGTGTGCGTGTTGCTGCGATTGGTATATACTAGACAAGCATTCTATACCTGAACTGTATCCCCAGCCGGTGACTCACCGGTCATTCGGTGTTCCCACTGTTTTGATAGAAACACCGTGTGAGAAGGTGTATTGTCCTCTGGAGAGGGTCGCCTCAGAATTGCAGGGCCGGCACCCACCCCGCTGGCCTTCTCTTTCTCTGCAAATCTGATGCTGTTTCTCTTATACAGATTGTCTTAAGATAATCCCAAACCTGTGATTTGATCTGTAGAGTTTGGCATAATGATGCCTGTAAATGTACCTTTATATGAGTTAGAAGTCTCTCTTTCATTTGGTCTAATGACCACTGAGACACTTTGTGCTGTCTCTCCTGGATGCTTTTTAAAACATTAGTCTGGAAACTTGCTAATGTCCTTTCTGTGACTGTTACAATGTGGGTATTTGGAATTCCACGATGCTGATAGGCCTTATTCATGAGGGTGCAATTAATGAAATGCCCCAGTGTTTTACCTTGGCGTCTTTATGATTTGCTGTGGAGAAAGTGGCTCACTGTCCCAGGTGTGTTGTGTGTTTGAGGTGGATTCAGAATTAGGTGCTGGCCTGGATCCACAGCTGACACTCGGACTTTGGGACCCTAGTCCCAGCCCCCCCCCCATGCTTGTTATCACATCACTGCCCACGGAGGGCGCTGTTGAGCTTCCAATCACCTCCTGCCTTCGCAGGACTCTCCACCCTCCCCTAGATAAGCCCACGGAGGGTAGGGAATATCCTGATCATAGCACATTCGCTTACAGAAGAAACTTCTCAAACCCCAGTGACTCAAGGTCTTAGAAATGGTCACTGAAATGGAGCCTTATTGGGGTCAGGTCATCTGTCAGTCGGTTTGTCAGATTTCATGGGCGTGTAAGTTAGAAGAAATTACAGCTTTTCATATCCGGTCACCAGAATTCATTAATAATTCATTAGGAACAGACTGGCACTGCATATGAGGAAGTTTGTAATGATCTGTCAGTGCCGCGGACGGATGAGGCGGGAGAGGACTCTCCTGGCTCCTGGCTGTAGACCAGCCTGCACGCTCGGCTAGTGAACTGCACTGGCCAGGCGGTGATTTCAAGTGCTGTGTTTGTTTCAAACAGGACGAAATCTATACAGAAAGCATTTCCATTTTGTGGTAGCAGTTGTGTAATAAACACACCCGGCAGGTTAGCCGGGTGGTGGTGGCGCACACCTTTAATCCCAGCAGAGGCAGGCGGATCTCTGTGAGTTCGAGGCCGGGCTGGACCGACAGCCTCCAAAACAATACAGAGAAACCCTGTCTCGCAAAACCAAAAACAAACAAACAAATAAATAAAAACACGGCGAGCGCCTGCCACATTCCAAGCCGTTTCACCGCTGTTGTTTTCGCACTGTCTTTTAGCAACTACAAAACCAGATAAAACACGGTTCCAGATACCTTTCTGTGTGTCCTGGCTGGCGAGGGCGGGAGCTTAGGTAGGACCAGCTAGACTTCATGGGGCTGTACCCTGCGTCTATCACCTGTCTGTCTGGGGCAGAGAAGCACTGCCCTTGGGGAAGCCTGGGAAGGCCCAAGGATGCTATACTGGATCCAGTGGGTAGAATCTTAATTGTCCTGCTTGGCACAGGGGAGGCCTGGTGGCCTGAGTGGCTATGAGTCTAGAGGCAGTGGTTGTGGGGCAGGAGACATACTTTCTGGTCGGTGATCTTTTGAAGTACCAGTAGGAAGGGAAGCACAGTGGCTGGATGGCATCCTCAGTGTGCCACACTGGGTGCCATCTAGGAAGAGTGATGACTGGGGTGGATGGTAGTTCTTGAATGCATCTCCTAGTTACTGGGTACCAAAGGCGTATACCAAGTTACTAGGCCTACACCTGGGGCTGGGCTGCAGCAGCGCTTACACGAGGATGGGGTGTTTGAGCTCGTTTCCAGGACTGTGTCTTCCTGCCCCGTGGTCTTACCTCATTGAAGGAAAGGCCCAAAATTTGGGGGAACCTCTGGCCTGCCCACTCTGGAGAATGGAGACCATGGAGACAGGATGCTCACACCCCGTTTTCCCTCTCCTCATTTTACGTATACGTGATATTTCACATGAAAACTGAAATTCCCCGTTGCTGGAGGTGGGGTGGATGCTGTGGGGCCATTGTGCACTGTACCGAGAGGAGGCATGCTGTCCATTGGATTTCACCCACTTGTCAGTGGTTGCTACGATATAGATACAAGCCGTGATGCTGTGTCCATCCCTTTCCACCCTGCATAGATACCACAGTGCAGGAGAAAAACAGGGCACCAAGCCTAAGATTACTATCCAGTAATATTTCATTAATGAGGGAAAGTTTCACGACTTACATTCACATTTATATAAATTTATATAAAAGCAAATTTTCCTAAGGCTTAACATGTATCAGTCTGTTTTGTATGACTGCAACAAAATTCCTGAGGCCAGGGGAACATTTATAAAGAAAAGAAGTGTGCTTAGCTCCCAGTTGTGGTACCTCCACGGTGATGGCCTTTTTGCTGGCAGAGTCCCAGGGCTGTGTCCACGATGTCATATGCACATGCAAGAGACAGTTTGTCTTTGTTCTCTCTCTCCATTTCCTTTAAAGGCCACCAACAGTCAGTCACGCATGGATCTGCATATTGATGATCATGTCTAATTCCAGACAGTCTTCTAAGAGTCATAGATTAAATTGCAGCCTCTTTTATACCTCCTTATTATATATAGTGGGGATTCCAGCACATGAACCCTGGAGGAGCCTCAACTCACATCCAAGCCGTACTAATGCATGTAGAAAACGTGTCTTGGATTGTTCTTTCCTTATCTTTTAGCACGGACCTGAATTTGTTGTTTTGGAGGTTGCTACAGTGACTCACATGCAAAGGCTCTTTGCAGATTAAGCTGTCTGATGGGTGTTTAGGGCTTTAGGCCTCCTGCTGCTGCTGCTGCAGTTGGCTGCAAGTGACCTGTTGAGTTTCTGTGGAAACAAAGGAGCCTGTGATAGTCCAGGCCACAGTCTCTTTGATGCTGCAGGTTTTATAGGGGACTGATCTGTAATAATTGATTAAATAATCGCTCAGTGAGCATTTACAGCTGCATACAAAAGCCCTACTGCATCGCCTCCTCTATAGTTACTGTAATGGGATGGTTACAGAACCTTGGTAGGGACCGCGAGAGCTTTGCCCTTTCTGGTGGGTCTGGCCTTTCTGCAGATGGATTGCTCATGTACTAGGTGAGTAGGTAAGGTAAGCATTTGAACCGGGGCCTGCTGCAGGGCGGGGCTTCCTCCCTCCCTTACTGTTATGTTACTGTTTGTAATATGCCCTGGAGATGACAACGACAACTGTACCCTTGCTTATCTTGACCCTGGACTTCAGACTTTGTGAGAGAAATACTTTGGCCAGAGTTTAGTGCTCCCAAGTATCCAGGAGGCTGAGAATGTCCTCCCCCTGCCCCAAAGCCTTTTACATAAAGTTTTTTACATCAACTTCCTTTGTTTGTTTGTTTGATTGGTTGTTTGTGTTTTCATTCCTGCCCCCCCCCCCCCGTAGGAAAATCCCCAGCCAGTAAGTAGGAGGTGAAGAATCCTTTTCAGAAGCTTGTGAAGGGAAGAAGGGACAGTGAGAAGGAGGTGACAGGGACCCCAGTGGCAGTTTTTGAGCTGAGCCGAGGTAATTCTCTAGGCTGCTTAACCCCACAGGCTTTGGGGCTCAGGGTCCTCTTGGCCCACCGGTTCAGACTGAGTGAGACCTGCCTTGACAGGAGTCACCCACAGAGGCAACAGTGCCTGATGCTCGATAGCCTCTTCCTGTGTTCTAGCACTGCCTCTGGGCTCTTCTGCAGAGCATAGCTTTCCGTGTTGCTTTTTAGCCTTTCCATGTGTGGTCAGTGGAATGACCATTCACTTGTGGTTGGGGTAGTGACAAGTCACACTTCCCCAGCTGCCTCTCTTCACTGACGCCATCCCTGTACCACAGCTTCCTAGAAAACCAGAGAAACAATTTTTTTGAAAAGTCAAGTCTCTGCCTATATCTACCTTCCTTTTTTGACAGATTAGTAGGAGTAGAATAACTAATATTCTGCTTTGTTTTAAATGAAAATATTCTCTCCTCTTATCCGAGGCATCATTTTCTGTAGTTTGTTACCT